CTTTCATATCGACGAGTGACAGCACACGTCTTTGGCGCCCCAACTGGCTCGGCAATGTAGACGACAAACTGAATGACATGTTCATTAAAGAAGTTGCTGAGCATGTCTTTAATAATGAAAAGGTATCATCTGGTAGCGCGTGAATAATATGAGAATTGCAAGTGCTCACCCGACATGCAATAGAGCCAGAGGGAACAGCTCCAATTAAAAACCATACCCGACAAGTCTTTCGACCTCCAAATAATGAAAGATTGCGCAAAAACATACTTCCACCTCCAACTTAACCCCACCAGTACCAACGTTAGCACCGAAGTCGACAACGCACACTTGAGTTGCACGAAAGGTATCATTGCCAAGCTCTGGTGACATCGTCGTTAGGGAGATTTCTATGGTCTGGTGTGTGGCTGTGAGTGGAAGACACATGAACGGTAATTAGCCACACATAACACAGGGCCTTGGGAGTTTGGCTCGAAAGAGAGTGTAACGTTTTGGACGCTGGTTGGGACATGAAGTCGAAGGATGTGTGGCCTATGTTTGATGACTGTCGGGGGACCAACAAACTCAGTTTCGTCGGCTTGTGAGGTTGGAACCACCTGGTTAGCATCAATATGGAACTTTTGGAGGTGAGTAGATAGGCTGGAGGACTTGAGTACGACATACCTTGGGTTGGTTCATGGTGTACATGGCAAACCGGTGAACTTGGAGACCAAGGAAAATTTTCGCAAAGTCCATTATTTTTTCTGAGGGGTGCAAGGGTGGCAAGAGCCACTCTTCCGATGGTATTATAGTTGGACTATGGCCGATGGAATCGAGCATAGTCAGGGTGGGGAAATGCACGTGCGAGAGGTCAGGCTATTGGTGTATTGCCTATATTCGGATCTTGCCTACGTCGGATTGTTTGGATATGTTACTCAAAAATCGTTGAGTCGGACTTTACTCAGACTAATAGCTATATCTTACAAAAAAAAATCAAGGTCGGATTATCTACATTTGGAGAATCCGGTTATGCCCCCTGCTAAAATCTCGTTTCCGCAGTGAATGCATCCATCAAAGAACAGCTTACCATCAGGCACAGTGAGGATGATGGCAACAGCATGTCCATTGCCAACTCATGTGCAGACACTGGTTACAATGCATCTTCCACAGACCAGCTGTGAGGAGACCAGGACTGCACTTTCTCTGTGTGTTCTCTTTGTGTTTCTGATCTGCCCTTATACCCTTTGAAGTATACCACTCTTTTGCCCACAGACACTGCCATAAATTCCACTGCAGCATTTATCTACAATTTACAAGGCAACAGTATGCCCCCTGTTGATCACTTTGATACTAGTTCGATTTCTCTGACTGATCCTTTCCTATTTTTGACTGCTACTACCATTTCTCCACTGACAATCTCCACCTTACACTCTACTTATCAGTTTGACCCCATTTATCATGTCTTAAAGTACAAACCTGTAGCAAGGAAGGTGAGGCCAGTACTGACATGGATGCCAGTGGAATTCCAGGTAGAATGTCAGGAGACTGAAGACCTGCATGTCTTACCTACTCATCCCCCTCCATTTGTTCCAGGTTCCAGGTTGACTCAGGAAAGAGCTGATGAGCTCAATCTGGACCCAGCAGGGTTCCTTTGGCCTACAGAATTAGACCTGGTGTGATGGTTGGTCAGGGAGCAAGAGGATGCCTTTGCTTTGGATGCTTCAGAAAGAGGGACCTTTTGAGAGGACATGTTCCCACCTCTGAAGATACCTACACTAGCCCACAAGCCTTGGGTTGAGCAAAATATTCCCCATTCCTCCTGCTGTTTTCTGTGAAGTTGTTAACATCATCAAAGAAAAGATTTCTGCAGGGGTTTATGAACCATCTACTTCATTCTATCATTCAAAATGGTTCTGCATAGTCAAGAAGGATGGAAAATCTCTGTGCCTCATCCATGACTTACAACCTCTAAATGCCATTTCTATTCAGGACTCAGCTGTTCCCCCCTTTGTTGATTTGATTGCTGAGCCTTCACTTGCCATTTGGTCTATGGAATTTTAGATATTATGGTTGGATATGATCCTCGCACCATACATGACAATTACCATGACCTCACTACCTTCCAAACTCCTATCAGTACCCTTTGACTCACCAAGCTTCCCATGGGCTACACAAATGCTGTCCAGATTTTCCATGGAGATGTCAGTTGGATTTTGAAGGACGAAATTCTGGAAGTCACCATTCCATTTATTGATGACTGTCCTATCAAAGGCCCCAAATCCTGCTACCAAAATCCAGATGGCACCTATGAAACAATTCCACAGAATTCTGGGATTAGGCACTTCATCTGGGAGCCCCTGCAGAACATCAACTGAGTCTTGCACCATCTATGTCATGCAGGAGCCACCATGTTGGCAAAGAAATGCATCATCACTGAGCCATCCATCATAGTGGTTGGGCACAAGGTGTCATTTAAGGGCAGAATTCCAGATGAAACTAAAGTCCAAAAGATTAAAGATTGGCCTTACTGCACAAATGTTACTGAAGTACATGGATTTTTAGGTCTCTGCTCATACTGCTGGATCTTCATCAAAGACTTCACCAAACATGCCCATCCTCTCATTGAGCTGACCAAGAAGGATGTCCCCTTCAAATTCCATGATGAACATAGGGAAGCAACGGAGTACCTCCACTGGGCAATTGTCTAATCCCCTGCATTGTGAACTATCAACTATAGTTCCAAAAGGAAAGTCATCTTAGCAGTCAACTCTTCTAACATTGCTGTTGGGTACCTCCTCATGCTGGAGGGGGAAGATGGAAAATGCTACCCTGCTAGGTTTGGCTTGATAACCCTCAATGATTGCAAATGCCACTACAGCCAAGCTAAGCTCAAGTTATTTGGACTTTTCTGTGCCCTGCATGACATCTGGCTTCATATCTTTGGCATGTTGGAATTCAGCTGTTGAGGTGGATGTGCAGTACATCAAAGGGATGATTAAGAATCCTGACTTACAGCCTAATGTGACCTTAAACCATTGGATCACTGGAATTCTTCTATTTGACTTCAAGCTTGTACATGTTCCAGCACACAAGCATACAGTGCTGGACAGACTTTTGTGGAGGCCAAGAGCAGAAGAAGATGAGGAGGGAGATGAGGACTATGAGGATTGGATAGATGAGAGTGGGGCCTTCGCTGTTGAGCTCTTGCATCATAGGGAAGCACATTTTGAGTCTCAACCTTACCCCTTGGAGATTCTGAGCATTGTGTCAGACTCATCTCTTGCCCTGTCACAGAGTCTAGGTATCTTTACTGCTGAAGAATTGATGCCAGGAAACTTTGAGACCAAAATTCCAAGGTCAGAGAAAGTGAAGCAGAGAGAGGAGAGGATGAGAGTGGTGAAGGAGTTTTTGGAGATGAAGAAAATGCAAGAAGGGTTGGAAGGGGCAGAATTGGAAAGCCTAGTGCATCTTGCAACTCAGTATTTCATGAAAGGAAGGGAACTGTGGAGGAAGGATCCCCAGGGATGGCATCAGCTAGTGGTACCCCCACACAAATGCCTTGGGATTCTCCACCAGGCCCACAATGACTTGGGGCACAAGGGTATCTTCTTGACCTGCATGTGTTTGCTGACTCGCTTTTGATGGCCCATGCTAGAGCAGGATGTCTGTTGGTATGTTAAATCATGCCACAAGTGCCAGATCTGCCATTTGGATCGCATTCATATTCTGCCAGTCATTGCCATTCCCCAACCCCTATTCTACAAGGCATATATGGACACATTCTTAATGCTGAGGTCAAATGGCTTTCACTACACCACCCAAGCCTGCTGTTCACTCACCAGTTACCCTGAATGGGCTATGCTTTGTGCAGAGACAGGCAAGTCCATTGGAAAGTTCATCTTCGAACAGATTTTGTGCTGTTGGGGTGCTGTTGTGGAGATTGTCACAGATAATGGGGGACCATACATCCTTGCTCTCAACTGGCTCTCCAAGACCTTTGGAATTCATCACATATGCATCTCCCCTTATAATTCACAGGCTAATGAAGTTGTCAAATGGTGGCATTTTGATGTAAGAGAGGTGCTGGTAAGAAGCTGTAGTGGGGAAGTGTCAAGGTGGTCAGAAGTTGCCCCTGCAGTATTTTGGGCAGAGAGGGTTACAGTCCACAAGGCAACCAGGTTTTCTCCATTCTATATGGCTCATGGTGTTGAACCCAGACTCCCTTTTGATCTAGTTGAAGCAACATTTTTAGCCCCTTTTGAAGCAGAATTTTACTCAACCATAGATCTCATTGCTCACCATGCTTTCCAACTCCAAAAACACCTGGAGGACCTTGCTTGCATCCACAATCTGGTCCTAAAATCCTGCTTCACATCAGCCAAGGATTTCCTCAATCATTTTGTGCATTCTATCAAAGACTTTAACTTTGAACAGGGTCACTCATCCTTGTTTGGAATTCCCACATTGAACTAGAACTCAACCAGAAAACCAAACTGTGCTACCTGGGACCAATGATCATCGTCTGATGCACTAAAGGCAGCTCATACATACTTGTGGAATCAGATGGTGCTGTCTTGAAATTCCACTTCACTGCCTTTCACCTATACCCCTATTTCCCACAGAATAATGCTCATATTGAAGTCACCCAGCTGACTGGCACTTCCACACAAGACCTGGATTGCCTTGAAGATGATTTGTTCCCAGACCCTATGCTCACTGGCATCCCTTTGGATGAGTCAGGTGAGTAGTCCATCCTTCTCTTTACCTCCTTTCTTTTCTTTCTCTATTCTTTCTTTTATTGATACCCGTTTCATCTCATATATAAAATCTGCACTGCTCACAAGAAACAGTCAAAAAAAAAAATTGCACAACACTTCTTCCTTTAGAAGTCTTTTTTCCCTTCCCTTACTGTTGTACTAATACCAATGCATGAAAGACTCTTACAATTTCAGAACATACCAGTACAAAAAATTCTGCAGACACAAGTACACCATTTATAGGTCCTGGAGTTCATCCTTCAACCTTCACAACTCCTCCCACCTAGCCCATGCACTCTCAATCCAATGTGTTACCTGCCTCACCAACATCTCCAGCAGCCAGTAGACCTGCTCCAGCTCGAATTCCTCATCCTTGGCTCTCGCCTCAAGCACTTGCAGATGCTCAATGAAGTTTGCTGTTGACCACTCATTTGGGTTTATGACCTCTGGAGTTTCTGCAACTAATGGAGTGTCACTCTGGACTGGCACTTTGACATCTCCAGATTCATTTAGTAAGCTGGTCACAGTTGCAAAAAATGGTTTGAACTTGACTTGCAGTTCTTTGCTGGGGGGTGACAGTTGAGGCTTGTTGACAAGGGGTGAAGAGGCTTTGAATGATGGCCTGGGCTTGGGAGTAGCCCTGCAGAAGAAGAGACAGGGGGTTGGCAAAGGATCATGAGGGGAAAGAGTCAGTTCTGGGGAAGGCAAGTGTGTGGGGGTTGGATCAGGTTGTCATTTTTGAGGCAGAATTCTCAGTGTGAGCTTCTTGGAAGGTCCAGTGTAGGGAATAAGTACTCCCTACTAAGGAAATTTAATTATCTTATCTACTGTATTTTTGCTTTAATTTACATTAGTGATACTTAGCCTACCTGTGTGGCGCATTTTTGGTAGCTTAGTCAGCAATTTTTGCGCACTAGTGTAGGTCCACAGTACACAATTAGAAAAGGAGGAACCAGACTGTGAGACAGTGACAAGTGAAGACTGTGAATGAAAGACTGTGACAAGCCCTCATTGAGGCACTCCCAGACAACCTCCAGACACTGTTACTCACTCATTTCCCCACTTCATTCCTTTTGCCCAACTCCAATCCACTCCCTTGTCACTTTTCACTGATCCAAGCACAGAGTCCCTCTGGGTCAAACCTGACCCTTTTCTATCCATCCCTAGGAGTCCCTAGCTTCACTAAATGCCTGACTTACACCAGTTGCAGGTCCCATGGGGGCCACCATTGGGGTCATAGTTGATTTGACTCATTTGTGAGATGGCCCTGCTGCTCCAATGGTGCCAGAGTTCTTTCACTGAAGGTGATGTTAACTTGTTCCCTTGTGGAATTAAACCTGTATGGTACTCACCTTTCTCCCTACTCCATGAGTGCACTTGCACTTGCACTTCACATTCCTGCACTGTTTGCAGGACCACTCCAGCTCCCAAACACACACAAGGTCCACCTGAGCACATGCCTTGCAAGGCTCATAGTCTCCAGCCACATGAGGTCCCTTTGTGGAAGGAGCAGGCTCACCTTCACCCTCATTCTCATCGTCATCAACATTGTCAGCAAGCTCATCCTCCTTGTTGGTGGCCTGCAGAATTTTCATTGAAGTCAGCACTTGCACTTGGGGATGTCAAGGATGTCAGACATACCTTCTCCTTCCCTTTTCCCTTGCTCACATTACCAGGGCCCACCCTAGTCACACACATAGCTCCTCTCAATGACCCCCCTGCTTTGGTATCACCTCACCCTCCCTCTGCCTGACCCCAAGTATGTGCCATGGGCTCCTGGGCCAGCCTCTTTGCCTCTAGTTGTGCCCTTTCTTTGACCCTCTCCTGGTAGTCCTCAAAGAGATCCTTGACATCAAACCACCTTTGGCCCTTGGGTTGTTGAAGGTCTGTTATTGCAATGGCTCCTGTGACCATGATATCATCCTTGAATGCCAACTGCTTGGACAATTCCATGAGATAGTGGCCATCAAGGTCAGGCACAATGATCTTGTGTTCATCTATGTACTTTCACCATGAGTACATGGCAGCCTGTGGAGTTTCTGTCATATCCCTCACATGCCCATATGACTGTTTGCTTACCCAGGTCACATTGTCACACACCAAAGGTGTTTGGTGAGGTGGACATGGATACAGCTGATGAACAGAGATGAAGACCATAGCCCTCATGTGAAGACGGACAGCCAGAAATGTTGGCAGTCATCCCTCACACAAGAACAAGTCATCAGTGCCAGAGAACAAGAAGGGGAGCAAGTTAAGTGCTGGCTAAAATTCTTAAGCACCCATGTATGGCATTCCAGTTTTGAACATATCTCCACCATTTCTGCAGATACAGAGACCATTCCCACACTCGCTTGTAGTGCTCAGCCATGCAATCTTACCTTCCAAAATTGGAAAGGATTTGCACACTCCACATGTTTCTACAGCGCTCCCTCCAAAAGATGCTCATTTCACTAAATTCTTCTGATATGGCTGCCTCTACATCAATCATTTTGCTTTCCCCCTTTGCTAGGGACCATGGCTACATATATCTACCAGGAGTTCCTACCAGCTTCCATCCTGAAGCATCCTGGTACATCCCACCCTTGTCTGTGCCCTCTCAGCCCATCCAGCTTGGACAGCATGTTCTTTTTGTCAGTATAACCTCTAGGAGGACATTCTTTGGTCACCTCAGGTCTGTCATTCACTTGGAAAGGTCTTATGTGGTTGTTCCAGTCTCTCCAGTCCAAGAAGCATATGGATCCTTCCTCCCTGCTCCCTGCAATGTCTTCAAACCAGTCTTGTCCATTATTCTTCCAAGATTGTGACAGCTACAGTATAATCTACTGTTCTCCACTCTCCCTGATCACATCCATGATGAGTATGATGCACATCTTGCCTCCTTGTTGCAAGATACAGCAGAAGACACTCCCCATTCATCCTCTCTTCCAACAGGGCCTCGTTCATGAAGTTTTTATTTGCTTCACTGAGAGGATGGTTTGGGGGGGGAAGGTTGCAATCCCCTATGCTACTCTCACCCCACAGACCCCCAAAGCTTGACCCCTGTTGACATCTGACTCACCCTGTCCACTTTTGGATGTACTATATCGGCATCAGATCAGTGCTGCCTCTCTGTCATCCCACCTTGGCCCAGAAGTGATCTCTTTGAGATGTGACATGCACAGCCTCCCCCTAATGTGATTCCAGTGTGCTTTCCCAGTTCCTGACATCACTTGACTCATACTTTGATGTTCTGACTGTCTTTGACTCACCTGTTGCCAATACTTACCAATCTTTTGACTTTGCTTACTGATTCTTTGCTTTTTGGCTTGCTAATCCTTACCAATGCTTACCAATGCTTTCCAAGACAATTACCCATTGCTTGCATTCCTTACTCATTGGTTACCAGTCACTTACTAAGTGTTTGCACCTTGTTTTCCAAGGGCAACACCCCTGTACTGTATATAAATCACTGTACTTAAATAGCAAAAAAGAAGGACATCAGAGAGCCCCTCTTGCTTGCATTTTATCATCACTCAGTAATTCATTCAGCAGCTTTGATAGTTGAGACTTTATTAAGGGTCTAACTATTGTCTACTTTGCTTATCCTTGTCTATCATCAATATACTCCACTGCAAGCCCTCCCTGAGCTCAGTGCAGCTTAGGACATTGAATTAAGTCATCATCCATCCTTCTGTAGGCTGACAGCAGTCTACCCTATTGCATTCTCTCGCATGCCTGCTCCTTCTTCATCAGGAGCACCCCCAACCCTCAGCACTCATCTTTGAGTGTTGTAGCTCACAAAAACCCACCCAAAGAACAGGTTCTACCATCTAGGTACTGCATAGGCACACCACCACTTGCTCTTTTTGTCTTTTGTGTTGGTTTTGGTTGGTTTTCACCACTGAACCACACTTTGACTCACAGCAGTTAGTTACTGCCTATCCAATCAACTTAATAATGACTGACCAAAGGCAGACCATAGGAAGGCCACTGGAGAATGATTTGATGATTGAATTCATCAGTAAGAGGCATAGAGTGACCTAGTTGACATGTATGAACTTCAGTGTTGTCTTTTGATGTGGATAATGGGATGGAAGAATGGTCTAGGGGTATGCAATCAGATTGATAACTGAGTAAACAGCATACACTGTGCTTATCTTTAATGAATGTGCATACACAATTTTATTATATCTTCATCTACACTTGTATTATAGATTGATTGTTTGCCTCATGTCAAATGTTTGACTTTCATGTTGACAGTTGCATTGCACTGTCTTTGCAAATACTACTACCAATACTGATGTAATTCTAATTCTAATGCTACACTGTCTAATGCTAAAGTGGTCAGCTGCAAGCAAAGATGGTTAATAGAATTCCAAGTTTCAAGAAGTGACACGCAACTTACCTGTAGGTGGTGGAAAGAGGGAAAAGGTGTTTGTGAGAATAGTCATCGTTGATATACTGGACACAACTCATGATCACATGCTTGTGTTAAGTGCATGTTAGGTCTTTGCTTAAGTGGCTACCATGTGATCATGAGTTGCATTCAGTATATCAACAATGACTTTTCTCATGAACACCTTTTCCCTCTTTCCACCACCTACAGGCAAGTTGCCCATCACCTCTTAACACTTGGCATTCTATTAACCATCTTCACTCGCAGCCCACCACTTTAGTGTTAGACATGATAGTATTAGAATTAGAGTTATGTTGATATTGATAGTAGTAGTCTTTGCAATTAGAATTAGAATTAGATCAATATTGATAGTAGTCTGTGATGATGGTACTTCAAAAGATTGCTATCAATGGTAGTTCATACTGTGGCTATCATTGATTTAAACATTCTACATGAGCTGAACAATTATAATACAAGTGTAGATGAAGATATAATAAAGTTGCATATGCTTGAGACAATGGCTTGGAAGCAATGATATGAAGCACATTCCATAAAGATAAGCACAGTGTATGCTGCTTATTCAGTTATCGATCTGACTACATACCCCTAGACCATTCTTCCATCCTGTTGTCCACATCAAAAGACACTATCTTTTGTCGTATTGTCCAGGACAATAGCAGTTCTGCTTGCTGAGCTTAGCCCCCCCCCCCTCAAATAGCAGCAATCATTGCCTTGTATTGCTTCGCTAGTACTTCCCCCCTCACTCCATTTACTGCTCACTAGTCACTTCCAGCTCTTACAACAACACCACTGCTATCAATGGAACCAAATGTTGAAACCACCCCCACTCTCCTCAATGACAAAGCTTTCACCTTTCTTGAAAGGTTCATGTGTGATGATCTCCCTGACACCTTGCTTCTATTCAATGTCAAAATCGAGCTTGCCATTGTGGGCATCACCTTCAAAGTGGAGGAATGGATAGACCTGATCAATATCATCATATTGAATCCAAAGGGCATAGGGATAAATGCCATCAAGGCTGTGTGGGAGCTCACACAAACTAAGGTAGTCCCAGTAGTTCCCTTGTTGGAAGATGCTGCTGCATGGCAGTTGGTTTTGTGTTGGGCAAGTCATGATAGCCTCTCCTTTGCCAATTTCTTGACAGAGATGGAGAAATTTGGCAACAGGTACCAGTTTGACAAGTGGAAGCCCACCTTTGACCAAGTATTTGAAGCATCTTGGGAGGGTACTGCTGTTGAGGTTGTTAGGGCAGCCATGGCTGAGCATGGCATTGTTGAGCCCTCTTGTAAGTAAATCTTTAAATCCTCACAATTTACTGACATATCCTCCAGGTGCATGCGATGCCCCCCCTGCTCAGGCTTCTTCCTCCCATAAGTAAACTTCTCAAAGCAATTTCATAAACCAATTCATTCTGTATCTTGCAGACGACATTCCCAGTGTCATCCTCTCCCCCCCAAGCTCCTTCATCACAGACTTGTAAGCCAATGTTCACCTTCAGTTTTGGATCCCTTGCTAACTACTCGATCAGGCAAAAGCTCACACAGATCCCACCACTCTCTATGCCCAGCAAAGCATCCAAGAATGAGCAAGTCCACTTCCCAATATCTGGATATTTCTGTGTGGGAGGACAAAGAGGACAAAGAGGAAGATGAACTAGACAATGAAGCAAACTGTTGTCCAAGAGTGACCAAGATAGCTCCATCAGGGAATGCAAATTTAACTCAACAGTTTGAAAGCCTTTTTCACTGCTATGGTGGTGAGGGGAGTGCAGAAGGGTCAAGGGCAAAGGTGCATCAGCAGGGCTCAGTTTGCAATGTTGAAGATCATATGGAGGTGGGTATGAATCAGACTCAGCCAAGAGTATTCAAGGTCATGCTGCCCTCTGGTACATCGTGTCTCCTCTTCACTCCTTTGCTTGGGAACTTACCTGGTCTCCATTAGCTCATTCTGCAGGATTTGTCCTCCAGCACTTCAAGCTGGAAGGCCTGAAATGCAAGACTGTCTGTTCAGTCCCTCACCACATTTATGTGGAAGCTCCCAGCATGCAAGATGTCTGACTCAGGCTTCCCCCTTCACACACCAATCTTGTCCCACAGATTGTACCAGTGTAGGAATAGGTAAAAGATATACCTAGAATTAGTAATTAGTCAGTAATGGGCAAGTGTTTGCAATTGACCCCAGAGGGAGATCCTGTTTTGGAGAAATGAAGTATAGTAAAAGTGTAAAAATTGCGAACTAAAAGGAAAACTTAGCTCTGGGCTGCTGCCTGCTATACTAAACCTATTGCCAGTCCTCCTGGCCCTTTGGGTACTCCACAAAGTAATAATTTTAACCTCAAAAACTCACTGAAATGTGAGATGAAATCACCCTGCTACTGAGGACCTCTGACATGAACTGCTTTTTTGGTAAACTGAACTTGTGTGAACCTTGGTCACTCTCCTTGCACAAATGTCCTTGTCTCTGCATCTGCTTCCCCCAACTTCACCATGGACCCTTGACCTTGCCACACACTTGAACATGACCCTTCTTTCCCAAGACTTGCTCCCAATTTTGCAGAAAAAACCCTCTCAGTCCTCAAAACCTCTTGCTCTTGAACACATCCCTTTCTGCCTACAAAACACCACCTGGCCTCTTGAACACATACCCTGCCTCTCAAACACTCCCCTCAAAACCCAAACCTTGAACCAAATGACAACAGAGATAAACTCCAGGCAAATGAACAAATGAGTGACAAATCAAGTGCAGGGTGAGTCAATGACTGCTCTTTGAGGCACAGTCTCTGTGCAAAATGGTAACATGGTGTGACACAGTGCCATAGCTAGTACAGAAGACATTTTCCCTTTACAAGGCAGTTCGAAGACATATATGTACCTAAGAGCTCTTGCTCAGTCATGTATTTACCATCCTTATATGCATATGTGCTCCTGGCTCCTGCTCATCCTTAAGATGACCTAGCACATAAAAAAAAGTGAAAGAAAACTGAAACTACATGTTGGGGTGAGTAGAATCGCCTGAAGGGTAGCATGACTTGGTTGAGCAATGTCACACAAGGTAAAATTCATATTAAAGAAAATTATATATCAATATGCTCACCAGGACCTTCACTTCATCCATCTGTCCCATTCACATTTTGACAGCCTCAACTCTCTGCACATGTGTGCACTTGATTTCTCATACCCCATCTGGTACTTTGTCTGGTGGCTGAAGCCCTTGTGCTAAGTGTTGCTGAGCAACCTCAAGTTGCCCATCTTCATTCACCACTTTTTTGACCCTAGAAACAAAGTATCCTGACATAGTATAAGCTCAAAGTAAAATAAAACCTCTCACCTTAGTTCCATAGATCCTTGAGCCTCCTTCAGAGATAGGTCTTCAACCCTGACAGGTGCAGGTGCTAATTTCATTTGATCTTGGTTGTTGGCCTTCAACCTTGCGGTCGGGTGGACACAGTCTTGATGCTAGGTACTGATGAATGGCTTTGAGCCATCCATCCCCATCAATTTCCTTTTCCTTTGCACTAACATACCTGTACTTCACAGTATAAATTGTTCAAATCAAAACTAAAAAGGGCACCTTGGCTTCAAATTGGCCCCTTCCTGAGTTTCATCATTAGCTCTTTGCACTCTACTCACAAACCCATACCATATTCATTTCCTTCGGATATCAGCAACTGTGCATTGACTTCACTATATACCTTAGACCTGTAGGTTTGTAAGTCTGGAGTCATAAACATAAAATATGAAAACAAGCCCTCAGGCTTGGTGTGTGAACTCCTGTTGCTTGGTGCATGTCTCTTCGTGCTGAGAATGGGTACTACTGTGTTGTCATCACTTGGCACTCCATTCAAACTTCATAGGGCTTTGAACTTTCTAGAGTAAGGTAGTCATAAGTAAAAATCCTCGGAGTAAATGTGAAACCTAGAGCTTTTGAGCTCATCTAGTATGCTCCCAATGCCCCCCATACATCATAGTTCCCTTTCTACTGTTGAAGATCATTGTCATAGTTTGAACAGTGTTCTGTGTACTTTTATCTCTGTATGTCTGTGTGTCCCTTGCTCATAGTCTGTTGTGGACTCTTGTATGGTGATTGCTGTTCATTGTAGGTATCCATCTTTGCTAGAGTAATGGAGGTGTGAGTAGCATATCCTGAAATAAATGCAGAACCTTGAGCTATTAAGCTTGTTATTTGTCTCCACCCTGCCTCATATCCATTGTATGGCCACTCTCGCATCACATGGCCTTCAATCCACATCGAGCATTGTCACCATCACTGCCACCCATGTTGGTGGCATTGTTGTCCTTGTCACCCTTGCTAGTGTTGTTGTTGCTCTTGTGGCCATCACTGTCACTGCTCATTTGTAGTTTGCTGTAGGTCCTTGAACTGCAACTGTGCAGATGTAGGTCATACTTCATCTCATATATCCAGTTTCCCTAGAGCAGGATAGCTGTAAGTAAAAAATTTCAAAATCAAAGCAAACCTGTGAGCCATTGAGCTCTCCATCTGCACTCTTTGCACCCCATTTCTGTCAAGTGGTGCATCTGATCTCACTTGGCCATCAATCTGTGCTAAGTCTAGTTGTTGTTGTCATTGTTGTTGTAACTGTTGCTGTCACTGGATTTAAGCCCTTGGCTTGTGCTGAACACACATCCCATTCATAATAATACTGCTGTATTGTGTCATGTAGCTTTTCCTTGACAGTCCATTGGATTTCTGCATAGACCTTCATAGGTCCTTGCATCGCAGCAGGAGTTGCTCAAGTGAGCCCATGCACCTGGTTAGGCCATATGAGACAGTCAGTGGAGGCTGACAATCAGCCATTGGTGATGGGCCAGCAGAGGTTGAGCCCATGTATGGCTTGTGCATGTGTGTTACATGAGAGCCATGAACCTATTGTCACCTTGTAGTATGGGAAAGCCCAACTGATGAGTGTCACCATGTAGTACAGCTGAGCCTGAGAGGAAATGTTGTCATGAGGAATGGTGCAGCTGTGGTTTGAATTGTCATTGTCAGTTACAAGCAGGCTGGGGAGTAAGTGTCATCATGGACTATGGGAGAGCCCAGTAAATGTGTGTCACCATAGCATACAGCTGAGCCCAAGAGTAGGAGTCATTATGCAGAATGGCTGGGCAGAGGTTAGAATTGTCATCATGGGGTACAAGCCAGCTGTGGGATTAGGGTGTAGCCACTGCAATATGAGTAGTCCCAGGTAAGCCCAGAGTTGGGTGTCCCCAGAAGGTATGGATGGGCTCAGCCCCTGAGTTCACCCCAGGCAACACTGTCATGCAAGCCAGCCCAACACCAATGCCATGCTAGCCATCCTGGCAACACTGCCATGTGGGCCAGCCCACCACCAATGCCATGCAGGCCATCCTGGGATGAATGCCATGTGAGCCAGGCCAACACCAATGCAATATGAACAGGCCCAATACCAATGCCATGCAGGCTGGCACAACACCAATGCCATGCTGGCTGTCCTGGCATCGATGCCACATGGGCAGACCCAATACCAATGCCATTCAAGGCATCCCAGCACCAATGCAATGTGAGCCAGGCCAACACCAACCCAGGACTAATGCCATGGAAGCCATCCCAGCCAGCACTGATTTAATGTGAACTGGCACAATGCTAATGCCATGGAAGCCATGCTGGCACCAATGCCACATGCTCTGGCACATCACCACTGCCATGGGGCCATCATGGAAGCTGTCCTGGCACTGATGTATTGTGAGCCAGCACTGGCACCAGGTCCATGTGTTCCAGCACATCCCCAATGCCATGGGGCCATCATGCAGGCCATCCTGGCACCATTGTAATGTGTTCCAGCACAACACCAATGCCATGGAAGCTGTCCTGGAACCTATGCCATGTGTTCCAGCACATCCCCAATACCATGAGGCCATCATGCAGGCTGTCACAGCACCATTGTAATGAGTTCTGGCACATCCCCAATGCCATGAGGCCATCAGTCAAGCTGTCCTGGCACCAATGCCATGAACACCATCCTGGTGCCAATGCCATGGAGGCCTGCCCAGAAATTATACCATGCCATGCCTGACCTGCCTGACCTCCTGGGAGCAGGTCCACAGTATGTATGTACTGGTACCAGTACCATGCTGGAGATGCATGTATTATCACAATGGTGGCTCTGGTAATGACCAGAAGACTAGCCAACTACCCAGTACATTTAAACTGTGAATTCAATGCCTTATGGCCTCCAGCAAGCCAGAACAATACCGTGAAAGTCACCATCATGCTATACAGCAAAAACAATTGAGTTATGCTGGCCAGTCATCATTCAATCATCTAGGTGAACCATGACTCCATTGGCCCTTAGTGCTTGTAACACCACAGCCTTGGTACAGACATCACCATACCAGATTGGTTTTCCAGTATCTGAATCATACAGTAACAACTACCAGTAGTGGTAGCTACTTCTTCCTGGAGATCACATTTTGACAATATAGAGTATACTGCTGCATCTAACAAAGTACAAGTACAAAGACAAAAAAACACAAATGGATTGCAAAATGACAAGTACATTGATGTTAGTTGACCTCCATCCTACCTTCCTGTCCAGGCACTGATCCAACTGCTGGTGGTGGTGGAGTAATAGAGATTGCCAGACCTCCAGCAGGTCCATGCACAGCTTTGACATTCAAAGGAGGTACTTCCAAGCTGGCACCTCCCTTGAATGAAGCCAGGGGGGGGGGGGTTCAGTGGACTCCTGTCTTGAGCTGCTTT